GACAAAGGAGTGATGAGTAAAGTAAAATTACCCTTGTTGTTGTTGTTTTGCTACCTCCTTCTTCTTTTACTTCAACTGGCTTTTTGGCTGTAGGTTTTTTGGGTGGAACCTTCACGGCTGAAAGAAAATCAAAACAGTTATTACAAGCAAAGAAAAATAAATAATCGAAAAGGTTAGGTCAAAACACCTTCCATTCCACACCTTCATATATTTCAGACTCGATGCGAACATCTCCAATGCCAATATGAAGGTGTCCTTTGAAACTATCTAATGTATGCCTAGTCACAACCACCCGTTGGGCACATTTTTTTTATTCCTGGTGAAGGATTTTTACAAAATCCCGACAGGCGAACCAGTCTGGAAATGGAGGGCTAAAAGTCACACCAAAGTCAGCACTTGGAAGTCGAGGGAATTTAGGAGGATACATGTTAAAAGTTGTTTCATACCGTTTCTCAGGAGGAACGAACGAAGGTATCTTTAAATTCTCCATTTTCTCTTTGAAAGTAACGGCTACTTTGCAGACGGTTCGACTAAGATCATTAGGCATATAGGCAGTTTTGAAGTACTTTTGAAATGCTTGGACTTCCTTAATATGAGTCAAAGTACCTTTCTTGATTTTCTCCTGCACAGAGAGGAAAGCCTTGTTAAGATGTTGAGTAAAGGCAGCAACATCGAAGAATTCTTCAGCATAGTACTCTTTCCACCACTAGTCGAACTGTGAGGTACAGAGGAAATTTGGTTCGAAGGCAACATGAATGAGTTGTGTCTGGCCAGCATAACGAGCTATTTGCTTGATGGTCATAGCCTCGGTGTGAATTGTGTTGTAGAGAAGAAGGGCATTCTTTTTCTCATATATGGGTTTTGGAAGAATTTGGATCAAGCCAAATTGTCAAGCGACAAGGTTTTGTTGGTAAGCAATAAGGGTAACCTAACTTTTTGACTGGTTAAGCCTGAGGGTTAACACCCTGGGAGTTAAGAAAGCTTCCCAGATGGAAAGGGATTCTACTTCTTGAGTTTTCGATGAAGCTGGAAATGGTCTAGTGAATCATTCAGGACCATGACTTCTTGCAGCAAAAGAAGCCATGTTCGGCGTAAAATCATAGCGCTTGGCGAACATCATCACATAGTTGGTGAAGGTCTGTTGGAGGTGACATCTTTCGCTGCTAGGAGTTAACATGACTAATCATGTCCCTTAGACTCTCTTATTTTTTACTTCATATGCATCTGCATTAATGGGGTTCTTGATGGGGAGGCATGCTTCGAAGGAAGCATTCATCCATAGCTGCAACAACCAGAAGGAGCCAAAAAGAAGGAGGTTTCCTTTGTCTCCAAGGCATTTGAGCTGGGAGACACCTTCACCCATTGGCTCATAAAGATTCGCTAGAATCATTTCACTTAAACATAAGTCATGGCCCAAATGGAGTTGGTTAGTCATGGTCAGATATTTCTTGGCTACCTGAAGTGACTTCGAGCAGAAGACACAACGGGACAACCATAGAGTAAGGAAAGATATATTCTCTACCTCAGAGACTTCTTCAGTTGTCTTATCATGGTAATGTGCAATATAGGTAGAATAAGCAGCTCTAGAAGTTGAAAAACCTATGGTATCATCAGCCTGGTAATCTGGATCATAACTATTACCAGTAGGTTTAAGCCCTGTGATGGCAGCTATGTTGAAAAGGGTTGGTAACATCACTCCACAAGAAATATGGAAAGTATGGTGTGTACTATCCCATAAATACAGCGAGGAGAGTAGCATGGTCGAGCAATACTCAGGTCCTACTTTTGATAATTGGATTAGGTCAAAGATACTCATATCTTTCCAGACTTGGATCTTGGTATTTTCTAGTGTTTGTAATCAGTTCAAGTAGTCATAAGGATCCTTAAACGAGGGACTTAATCGAAATATCCTAAAGCCATTGTTCATATATCTTAAGTCAATAGTTTCATCCGTCGAAGGATTGCTTTGGTTGGCAGGTTTGGGTCTTCGTTTCTAGCCATAGGTTTCTTAGTGTAAGCTATAGGCTTGTACTTGTGGTAAGTAGTGAAAATTTTCCTTAAGTTTACCAGGGTTAGCAGTGGAATCAGACAATGGTCCTAGCAAAGCATAAGGTTTACCAGCAACAAAAACAGGGATAAGTACTTGGAATTTGTAGATCCTTCGTTGTTCTTCAGAAAGCGGTTCTAGAATGTATTGTTGATTTCCCACCATGCGTGCTAAAAGGAGGAAGGCTTGAGAGCTTCTTGGATCCTTCACATTTTTGGCAGATTCTTTAGTAGTTTTGGTTGATGATGCTATTGTTGCTGGAAGTTTGAAGGAAGTTTGAGAAATTGGGTTTCTTAAGTAGAGGAGATGAAGAAGTTGAAGAGTGGTCTGAAAAGTTCAGAAAAGCAAAAAAGTAGAAAAAAGGAAAGGTGACCTATTTATAGAGACTGAAGTGGAAACGGTTTTTAAATTAGCAGTTATGGTTAAGAAGTGAGCGGGACGTGTGTCCTTCCAAGAGCTCGTGATAGGACGGTGGTAGTTAAAGCCTACCCCATTATCTCCTAGGATCTAGGAGGTGTGATGATTGTGAAATATTTTTGCGTGGGATTGAGGAGACGTTTCAGAAAAAGTGTCATGATGACTATGACGTCATATTTGTGTTGAGGTACATGAACAGTTTTGTGATGTCAAATAGTTTGTGGCGTCGAACTTTGTTGTCAAAAAATGCCTTTTTCTTCATTTGATATCGAAAATGACATTTTCGGGGGGCAATTTGTTAGCTCGTAATTTCGACACCTAGGTGGAATTAGTGGAATAAATAAGCAAAGAGAATTTCTGTGAAGTTATGATGAACTTCGACAGGACAGTGTAATTATGGAAGTCTAGTCGAAGTTACCCTTGTGCAAGAAGGAAGGGTTGGTTGAACTTAGGGAAATTTTCTAAGTTTGAATATGTAGTTCGACTAAGATGCTACTGATGGTGTCTTTGATTTGAAGTTTGAATTTGAATAAAGGAGACAACTTTTTTCTTATCCAGTTTCAAGAGAAGACACATGGAGCACGTTAAGGAAATGAAGACATGACGAGCGCCACTTGTCTTGATTTAGGAGAAAGGTCGTTAAAGGCAGTTATTTCGATTTAGTATAAATAAGAGATCTTAGCGTTAGGATTTCATGAGTGATCAAGTTTATACAAGTCACTCAAATTACTCAAAGTACCTAGTGTGTAGAGAAAAGAGTTATTGAGAAATGTACGTTTGATGGAACACCATTTTCTTACACTTTAATCAAACTCAGTTTATGTTTTTTTGCCCATAAATTTATCTTCTTTATTCACACAAGTTATTTTTAACGCATCTTATTGCATTTTCGATTACTTTTCTACAACGTATTTTCTTTTACATTTTCGAAGTAACTACTTTCAAATCATGAATATTGTCGAAGTGTTCATTATTTCTCTAACTTTAATTTAAAAAGTATTAGCACATGTCCTAGGATTCACTGGATGATCCTGTAAGTTAACCAATATTTGGAGACCAGTGGTTATTTACCTATTTTTATGGTAAACAATTCGGTTAGAAGATTCGATTCGAGTTGTTTCCGTTGTGCCATGCATTTTTTAAAACAAATTTTTGCCAAAAATTTTGGGTTTTAAATTTTTTGTTTTAAATTTGCTATCGTCTAACAAATGTCACAAAAGCACATCTTTTATCCAAACAATTATTGGACCTTCCGATAACCACACCAAATCTCAGTTTGGACGCCGAGGTATGAATCCATTAATACATGTGATCATGAAATTCAAACTCTTGCTCATTTTTAAATTGGTTGCTAACATCTACCGCCTTCACAACAACACCTTTAACATTCAGGGACGCAACTTGTTTAGGAAAAACATTGGGTGCGACATATCTAATGAAAATAATTAGCACAAAACAATAAATAAGTGCTAATTCTGTAAACAGAGCTGAAAATGAACACATATAGATATCGAAAATGCATTTCAGTATAAATTCATACTCGTTTAGGAAATGTATCTCCGAATAAACGCACATTTTTTAGACAAAAAAAAAGATTAATGTGAGCAATGAGGCTTGAAATAAGCGATCTTTACTTGGAATTCTAACTTCTTTTACTCTCTTTGATGTGATGAAACACAAGATTGAAGATTTGGAGTGAAATGTGGATTGAGAATGGAAGGATTTTTTGTGAGGATTTTGAGTGGAAAATATGTATGGTTGTGTGATCATGCAACCTAGTGTTATATCAATTTATTTCGGAGATGTATTTCTGAAAATATTTTGACATGCAAAGGTGACAGAAAATTTCAAAATTCCGCCATAAACCTCCAAGATACATCTTCAAAAATTTCACTAGGTTGATCAATTGTCAATATATTTGTTTAAAATATCTTGAGTTGTATCTCCGAAATTTTTTTTTTTAATATTCATCAAGAGTGGCACTTATTTGATGCGCCATAAGATTAGTGCATGTTGAATTCAGATATAAAGAATCTAAGAGACAATCTCAATTTTTTATAAAATATTTTTCTATCCTATAGAAAGTCATAAGAAATGCCCTTATTAACTTAATTTTTATTTTATTGTTTCATATGTTTCAAACAATCAACTTAATTTTTTATTGTTTCATTATGTCTACAAAAGAATTTTTTTTGTTGATGATCGTGTCGTTAATTATTTCTCTTATAATAATTAAAAAAAGTTAATTTTATTCTCTTATATTTCCAATTCTAAAATATAAAATCTCTTTTAGAAGAAAATTCTATAATGTCCCAGTAAATTGTTATGTAATATTGATTTTTATTTTGAATCAAACCTATTATTTTACTTTATATTTAAAGATTAATTTAAAATAAATCACATAAAATTAATTTAATTTTGTAATTAGTTATATAAATTATACCGAATTACATGTAATTTTAATTTTAAACTAGATGATTTTTTTTGTTAAAATGTTTAAATTAGTAGAGTGTTGAGCAGAAAGAGACTCGGCGCGATGGATTACAGTTTGGCAGCGTTGAAGCTTTTATGCTCACAGCTTAAAGACGCTCGAGAAGTTTCCTCCGGAACACTTCAAAATAGTTTCACCCTCGGACCCATCCTCTTCCAACGCGCTTGGTTACAGGTTTCATTCCTTCTCTCTCTCTCTCCACCGTCGTTTTTGCTTTTTCTTAAATGCCTTAACCGCAGGGCATTCTGGTGTCCTCCGACGGCGGCGGACCTTTTTTTCTTGACGATGGAACTGGCGTCATCGAACTCTCTCTCTCCGGCGAGTTCCGTCAACGTCAATTGAAAGCTGGTAAATTATGTTTCTTTACACTTTCTCCACTGTTCAAAACTTTTGTGTGCAAATTATGCGATTAATTCAATGTGGAATTTCCTTTGATTTTGATTATTTAATACTTTTATTTATTGGTAGGAATGTATGTGATGGTCGTCGGAGGGTACTTTTTACGTGCGGCGGGAGAGCCTTCCGTCATCAAGGTAACCGTTCACTTCTTTATCTTTTGAGTTTGAGTCTGTCTGTCCTAAAATGAATTAATATTTGCAAAACTAACACCGGATGCGATTCTTGTGTCTGTGTCTGTGTCGAACACCAGACACACTTTTGATCAAAGATGACGGTACTATGCAACTTACCATTGCCTTTGTTATTTATTTATCTCAATGAGAATGTTCAATGTTGTAATGAGATGTCAGGAAAGACTTGTAAAGACGGTAGAGAGCCCCCTTATCAGATAAGGGGCACGTTCTATATGTCTAGTCTTAAAGAGAAAAAGTGTGCGTTAAAAGTTTCACATTAGGTAGAACCCAAATTCTTGAGATTAAAATTGTAAATGTAGAAAGTCTTTTATCAATTGCAACTTTGTCAATGGCAATATGCCTCTTATAACAACAAATTTAGCTATAAAGTAGATAGACAAGTAAATGCATGCTAGAACAAAAAGGACTGATTATGGAGTTCGGCCGATTTTGCCTACATCTCCAAAAGTAGAGTCTTGCACTGCTATGTTCACTATACTATGCTTGTTACGCTTGCTAAACTCTAGCGTCTATCTACTTATAGTTGAATAGGAGTTATACTCAGCAATGCCTTAAAGATCAAAAGCGGCATTCAACACCAGACCATGATATTATAAGCAGAATTTGTTCTTCACTAGGCTTGTTTAGTATAAAATTCGCATGACCTAAAACAGCATAAGCTTTTGTTCATGAATAGGAACTGTTTTTTATATTTAAGACAGAAATTGTGAGGAAAAATTCAAAGTTGGTTTATCGCAAAGAAGGGACGAGTACATGTTATTTGGTCGCGTAGTTCTTAAAGGGTTTCTGTCAATCATAGTATTGAAAAGTGAGTGTGAGAGTGTTGTTAGAATTCATCTTCATGGAGATTCCTGTTCTTATTTACTCTTCTTTCTTTAACTTGTGAAGTTTAGAGTTGAAGCCACATAAAACTTCTTATATTAACCATTATACTTTTGATCTCGCTAGAGGAAATAATGAAAGCTGGGAGAATATTGTTTTGATTTGTAATTGATATATTGACAGGTTCACAAGATTGTTGATCTTTCATCATCCCCAGACCGAGAAGCAATGTGGTATCTCGAAGTTATTGAGGCATACAAATTGTTCTATCAGCCTCTTATGGATGAATTTAACTGATATTGGACATGCTATTAGACAAAGAATTTGTATTTAAGATTGACATCCCTACTTTGGGTCACTCGAACACAGAATTGTATTCACATGTCCATTTCTTTATTCTGTGAAAAATTCATTAACAAAGGGCATTGTAAAGTCATCACTCGCCACTATATCCTTTATGAAATACATTGATCGGCAATAACAATATATTTGTTTCACGATTCTTTTAAAAAATCACTCTCTGTTATCTCCATTAATTATCACCTGTTTCATGAATTTGGAGTTATATGAACATTACTTTCTCTGGATATTCAGTATTAGCCGGTATTTATAGGAATATTACAACCAAATTATTTCCTTAAATTAAGGAGAATAGGAACAATAGAAAATTAGAAAATATTGTGCAATAAATAGCAAATATTCTAAATATAAAAATATTCCAACAACACTTGTCGTGCATGGATATCAATCATGTTCAACTTAACTAGATGTTCAAAGATGGACTTAGCCAAACTTTTAGTTAGAATATTTGCTGGGTGTTGACTAGAAGCTACAAAAGGTAGGTATATAGTTTCACGGTCTTACTTCTCATTTATAAAGTGTCGATTGATATCAATATGTTTGGTTGTATCATCTTAGATTGAATTATGGGATATGTACTACTTAAGTGTCAAGGATTCGGTCATGATTCCAAATTCGGTTCGTGCGCCACTTGTTGCCACTTCCATTTTTTGTTCCTCCATGTCACAATTACCTTCAAAGGTAAATCTTTTATTTGTGAATGAATCAACCCACCCAACGTCAATTAATATATAGACACCTCATTCACTAGTCTTATTATAAAATAGTCTGTAAGAATTTTTCTTCAAATATTTCAAGATCTTGTAAATTGCCTCAAGAACTTCCTCAAAAGAAGAGTGTCTAAACTGATTTACTACATTTATTGAGAAGGCACTCTTGAGTCTTATATGTGATAAATAAATCAGTTTATCAATCAATATTGGCACTCTTGAGTCTTATATGTGATAAATAAATCAGTTTATCAATCAATATTGATAGGAACATTCCCTTTTTTTTTTCCAAAGTTTTGCATTACAATTCATAGGAGTATTTGCATGTCCAAAATTATTCATCTCAATTTCTTTCAAGAGATTTAGGCTCTATTTTTTGTTGTGCCACTATAACTCTCTAATTCAATCTTGCAACTACCTAAAAAGTATCTCAAGGATCATAAATTCTTAATTTCAAAGTCATCGGTCAGTTTCTCTTTTGCTCTTGACATTTAAGCTATATCATCTCTAGTAAGGACAATATTATTAATATACACAATAAATATAAAGATTTTTTCATCGTGAGAGAACTTTGTGAACAGTGTGTGTTCGGGTATGAATTGGGTGAATTTTTCAAACCAAGTTCTGAGATATTGTTTTAATCCATATAATGCAGAGCTCTGCTCTGGTGCCAAGACTAACAATTCCAGTTGATCCTTACTTGTGTTCACTTTTTATGCATCTCTATCATCCTTTTTTTCACAGTAATAAACTAGTTGCTCCTCTTCTTCACAATGACCACTCTATGTTAACTAGAGTTAAAATTAGAAAGTCCAAACTCAAGGTCTTTATTGCTCAAACACATCCTGAAGCAACTAGTGGATAAGCAAGTTATATCTATTTCAGAATGGGTAAAAGTAATGCACATTGAATACAATGCATTAATAACTAATGGCACTTGGACTCTTACCACTTTACCTCTTCATAGAAAACTAGTAAGTTGTAGGAGAGTTTTTAAAGTGAAAGAAAATTCAGACTGGGAATGCCAGACGTCGATCTTGGATTGGCCTTCTTATTTTCTGAGAATAGAAGTCAAACATCAAAATAATGGCTATTTGTTACTTACTCAAACCAAATGTATCAGAGATTTGCTTACAAGAGCTAACATAGTTAATGCAAACGGTGTCACCAACCCCATGCTTAGTACCTGCAAACTCGGTAAGCATGTTTTTGAGCCCTTCTCTGATCCTCGGCTATATAGATCTATTGTGGGTGTTATACAATATGTTACTTTGACTAGGCCACACATAGCTTTTAGTGTGAACAAAGCATGTCAGTTTATGGCTTTTCCCCTAGATGCACATTAGTGTGCTGTCAAATGGATTCTCAGATATCTCAGTGGCACTATATCACATGGTTCATTGTTGTCTCCTTCCGTATCATATCAGAAATTCTCTCTTAGGGCATACAGTGATCTGACTAGGCTAGTGACCCTGATGATCGAAGATCGACGTCTGGCACGTGCATTTTCTTTAGGCCAACTCTTATTTCATGGAATTTCAAAAAGCAGTCACTAGTTGCTCGTTCAAGCACCGAAGCTGAGTATTGGGCTTTAGCACATTCCACATCCAAACTATTGTGGCTTGAGTCCCTGTTGAATGAGCTTGGTATTTTGTTTCATACACCAATCATGTTGTGTGATAATATGAGCGCAGTGTTACTGTCACATAATTCGGTTTTACATGCTCGTACGAAGCATATCGAACTTGACATACACTTTGTTCATGAAAGGGTTGTTTTCAAGAAGCTACTTATTCAACATGTCTTGGCTATGGCTCAAATTTCAGATACACTAATCAAGCCTTTGAGAACATCAGCATTCCAAGATTTGAGAATCAAACTCAAGGTTACTTGTGTTGATTACCCTCCTTGAGTTTGCAGGGAATGTTAGAGATATATATCTCATACCTATTCTTTTCTATACTTTGTGAAGCTTGTTTGGATAACTTGACGGGTAACTAACATTGTGATTGCTTGTAGCTTAGAAAGTAGTTATGATATAGTTAGAGGTTAACTCTAACTGTTATCTTCTTTCCACCATCATGTATATAAGCTAAAGCTTCTACTGTTGCAAACACTTGAGATATAGAATAATCGTCTTCTTTCTTTTTTGGTTTTCAGTTTGCATCACTGTTAAAAAATGAATCTCACAGAAATTGAACTCTTAACACTATGAATAACAGATAAAGGTTTTAAACAAAAATAAATCTCTGTTAAAATAATTTAATAAATAAGTATTTCAAATAACTAAAGCTAAGATGACCTAATCATAAATGGCGTGGCATAACACTGTCCCTATTATTCAAAGGAAAAAAGATAAAATGAGAAATTATTTGCTTAGTAGGTAGTTGTGATTCAGAACCAACCAAGATCAAAAGACTAATTATTTACAAGAGTTCATTTTTTTAAAAAAAATCACAATACTCATCTTAATAATCATCACCTGTGTTTCAAATTTGTTGAGTGTTCGTATTTCTCAGTTTTTATCTTTCTAAACTGGTCAGCATATGCAACACTACATTTGATTAGACTTGCATCTAAACGAAATAGAAAGTATTTGTAACAATGACGTGAATCCAAGGTTGAGGCATGAAAACAAACAGTATTGTTTTGGCATAACCAATTGTAAACTTCATTTGTTTGATTTTTGCAACTTTGACAAACACAGGAATTTAAATCCATCAAAATATACAATATGTGAAAGTTTATGTATACACAGAACAGTAACTACCATCAACTCAAACCAACAAAGAACAAGTCCACAACTGCAAAGTCAGATGCAACAAACTGACTGATTCAAAATGTACAAATCAAACCCCAAAGTATACTATTCTAGGAAGACAAAAATACAATCTAGAAATAGCTGCAAACACTCCCAAAAGTTGAGTTTGATTTAGCACTGATATATTAGATTTGAAAACACAATTTTTCAACTTTTTATCGGCACACTTAATCTTCTATTGGTTGAAATTCATATACACATGAGTTGGTAGAATTCATATGAATTTCAATCAATAGAAGAGTGTGTTGCTAGCACTACTCAAGTTCCAAGAACAAAAACAGATCACATATTCTTCACTATAATGGCTTTAGAGGTTGACAACAAGCCAATTTGCATCTATATTGATGACATTACAGGTTCAGATTCTTTGATTGGCTCAGAGGTTTGATTAATGGATATATTCTTCACGCCAATTTCCACCAACTCCTGCTCAGCCTTTTCCTTTTCCCTTTTTCTCTTTTCAAACAATTCCTCACTGGTTGCATCAGGTTGCGTACTAGTCACTACTGAGGGCTCAATGGTGCGGGGAACTGCACTGAGCCATGGATGACTAAGGCACTGAGCAGCTGTTGGTCTCTTTTCGGGGTCAAAATCAAGTATTGGAAGAAGGAAGTCAGACATGTCTTTGGCGTCTTGTTCACTGAAATTATACTTTTCCATAAGAATCTTATTAAGTGGCCAGAATCGCAAGTCGCGAATGTGCCTCAGGTCACCGTGTCTATTGAAAAAATCTCGGGAATAGCGGCCACTAAGTGCAATCTGTAGGAAAATATATGATCAAATTTTGTTGTTATACACATAACAAACAATGATATTATCCAATTTTCAGAATGAAATGCAGTACGTTATACCCTGTTGTTTTTGTTTCTTTTTGAAGCAAAACTCATTAAGAGACAAAATTGAGTGCACTCCACGAGGATCCGGAAATTGATCTTTATTTTGGAAGTCAAATTTTGAAAGATTATTTAATAACGAAAAAACGAAGTGTTTATTGAACATGAAAACATATAAAATTGATGGCAGATATAAACTTTATAATGTTAACCATAGAAGATAACTTTCCTACCTTGGTAGGCATCTTTCCGAGAAGTTCCATCATCAATGCCAGATGATCCTGTAAAACAAATAACATCAGTTAGCAATCCACTGATTAAGCAAAACTCATGTAGCCAGGGCATTACTTCAAATTTTAAAAGCATTTTCTACGAGAACGGGAAGCTTTGGCCTATATCTAATATCTTCTTAATTTATGCTGAGCCAAATCTACTTACTAGGTTCACCATTAAAATAGATGTCAACATTTCAGTAGATAATAAGAGCACAAAAATATACTACTTTATATGATAGCTTCAAGTCATAGTGAAGCCTCAACTCTAAGATCACCAGCAGAGTAACCGGGAACGCAA